CAAGTTACCGAGCTCTGCCAAAGCTATGATGAGCTCCGCCGGCAACGTCTAGTCACCCGCCGTGCTGTCCCACATCAGGAATCGATGTCCGGCTTAACTCCCTCGCAAGACCCCATCCTTCTCTCGCAGATCAAAGATTTCGTGCGCGAAGACGTTGCCCGCCAACTCTCGCTCATCTCCGGCTTACCGGAGCGCAGTGCGCCGCTTAGCCCTACACTACGGACTATTACACAAGATCAAGTGTCTGAGGTCCTTCCTCCGCAGCTGGTGCCACCAGTCAATGCACCATTGGCGTACGCCGAAGCAGCAGCACTACCACAGACGTTTCAAGCATCCCACATCTCCACCAATTATAATAAAGAACTGAGACAGTCAGAACTGTTATTCGAGACCAGGTAGGAGCTATAGGCCTAGCCAGCGAAATCAGCGACAACGTCCGGTCCGAGCATCTCGTGCTTAGCACTGACAATGTGTTTGCCGAGCTTTGCACGACCCACTACACTCATCATTACACTAGGAAGAAAAGTCGAGCTAGTTCGAAATAATGCATTGTTGAACCGCGCAAGAAATAGCGCCTGTATCGTATGTCCAGTGTGTGTCCCTGTATTTTTTGTGCAATGCTACAATTAAAACAAAAAAACATCAGCTAGACATCTGACGGCGTAAATGTTAAGCGCTGAGTCATGCGAAGCAATCACGGGGCTGAGAACGTCAAAAAAAGAAAAAAACGCTTGGAAGGCGCAGCACAGTCACAGCGAAAGCTAGAAGAGCGACCTTTCAGAGCCTTTTCAAAACACTCGTTGGGTTACTACTGCAAGCACACTTGCTTGATGCCCACTAGGGCATTAATAATAAACTCGTGTAATAGGCCGGCATTCGCCATATGCTCTTTTAAGTCATTATTCTGAGAAGCGTAGTACCCGCTAAACACTCTCAAGGAATTTCGTGCCAACTATTCATGCAGTGGCTGACGACGATGAGGAATTATGGCTGAAGTGGGTATGCGTCACAAGTAATAGGGGAACAAGAACAATCCCACATTACGGGTGTGTGTGTCACAGTTTCCAGGCTCTTCCTTTCTTCCTTTTGTATTGTGTTGGAGCATTGAACGAGCCACTCGTTACGCTATTCGCATTGTGCGACGACTAGTTATATTGCTCTTTTAAAACGATTTATAAGTCGTATGCCAACAAGTCACAAGCACCAGCGTACCTCAGTGATAGAATACTGCGCTGGCATCCAGCAGACCCGGGTTACAGCCCCACTGTGTCTTTGTTGCTAGGTTTGCGAACAACTCACAAGCTCCGCCATAGCTCAGTGGTAGAATACTGGGCTGGCACCCTACAGACCCGGATTTCAAGCCTTACTGTGTCTTTGCTGCTAGGTTTTTCTTCTGAATTCGTGCGATGGGGTTACGGACACCGGCGGCGATGGGACAACTGCGCGTGACCCGAGTTGTGATCTCATAACAGCTTTCACTAAAAAAAAAAAAAAAGATCTGAAATGATTTTGAGACAATGCAAAAGAGACATTTCTCGCTGCTGTGTTAGCGCTTTCCACACACTTGAGTCGCACAACATGCGCTAAATATTTTACTTTGGTTTTAAAGCTTTTGTCGCTGAGCATCTGCAAGACAGCCCCACTGCAATGAACATTCTTCCGACGACTCAATACAGTATTGCAGTGTCTAGAAAAATACTGCCTAGTGTGCTGAGCGCGGGCGAAGAGATGGCTCCGTCGCTGATGACTGCCGATGGCGCCCGCTTGGTGCGCTGCAGCTCGAGTGGGTGCATCCGCGTTCAATCCGCGCGCTCCGCAAGCGCTGCGAAGCTTTCAGTAGGCCGAGTCGCGTGAGGCCAACTTTCAATTTTTCCGTATTTTCGAAGAGTTCTTTACAAAACGCTTTATTGTACAATACCTACGTGACTGCTTTCACAGCACCCATATTTAGCAATATCAAATGAAGATAATGTCGTAACATACACCTCACCGTTGGCTGCCGCCTACAAAGCACGCACACACTCACGCACACACACCGTACAGACTTCTTAGGTACAAGATGTTTTGGGTAATTTGCGAACACTGTAGGGACAGCATCGGGCTTCAGGCGCGGCTTCTCTCGGGCGATTTCATTCACGACACCTTTCACCGTAATCTGAAAAGATCGTTCGATGCAGTCACTCTCAAAATGTCGTTCGCAAACGACAGCCTGCGGCGTCAGCTTTCTGTCTGCCCTCGTGATCCTGCTTTCCCATTCTGCAAGCCATGCTGGGTCCGTCGGTGCTGTAAACAAAGATATTCTTTCCCTTTTCGACTGATAACCGCTTCAACACATATGCACAAAACATGTCCTTTCTTTGCACTGCCCCTAGCCTTTAACATCTCAGCATGTTGCTGCTCACATCTGGCAAAATCGAACTTCACAATACGACAGATAACAGCTGTCAAACAGTTATCTTACTCGTAGCGAGGCTCCGGCAGCAAATGGACGAGAAAACTTCTTCGCACAATCGGGCACCCACTCGGCTCGCAGCGCCGCTTGCGGCAACTGAGCGCGGTCATCACTCGTCGGACCACCCTCCCTCGTGCAAAGTGCGCGCGCTCATCACACTAGGTAGTATTTTTCTAGACACTGTAACAGTACACAGCTCCCTGGAGTTTGCGAGTCGTGCGTCGTGCACGCGGCCTACAAGGCAGAATTCACTGTCAACGTCACTGTATGACACTTCGCTCGTCGTTGTTTACGTGCACTACGAGCAGATATAAGATTTACCGCTAGTACATCGCAAGTTGCTGTCTCCCCGTGACGTCACGCTGCTATGACACGTCATTGAGAAACCACCTCCTCCATGTCAAATTCGAAGGTGATTGTCCATTTTTTTTTCTAAATGTAGCTGTAAAATACATTCGATGCATTCCCAGGCACGGCAATACTCGTTTATATATCCCGTCACCACATTTTTTCTTGTTTACAGCAACAATCCGAAAAATCTTTTACATTCGTTCAGCACGCCTTTAAGTCGCATGTTCACTTAAGCACGTGATTAGGTCATGTTATAACGTCACTTTACGTGAACATCGATCTTGGACATGGTTGGTGTGCCCATTAGGCGCCGCGCCTCCTCGGGCTCCGCCAGTCGACTTTGTGTCTCTGCTCCGTGCCAATTTCGCATTCAGTGCACGAAAGGGGATACGCGAAAAGAATAGCAAAAAAAAAAAAACGGCTCTTTCGGTTTAATGTGTGAGGCACGGAATTTCCTTAATCAGTCAAGTGTTTTCGCGTTTACCACCTAAGTGCAGTGTCGGTCAGGAAAGAGCGTCGTCGCCTCGTAATCTCTAATAATAATTCTTGACGGTTAACGTCCAAAAACTTCCAGTCAGGGAAATTTTTACCACCTATTGTTCCTTATCGCGCACCAAAATGTAAGCAAATGACATCAAGCCTTTTCGCCTCCATGGAAAATACAGCCGCCGCTGCCGGGATTCGATCCCGCAACCTTTCGGGTCAGCAGTCGAGCACTGTAACCAGTGGATTACCGTGGCGGGTTCCTCGTAATGTCGCAGTGACATGTTTTCATTCAGGGCTTACTGCATAGGGATTGCTGTTTTGTTGACTATGATCGCTAGTACTGGTCATGTAACGTGCAGATGAAAAATATTAACAGAAGCGGAACAAAAGCTGGTGTTGGCATGCATAACCTCTGAAACCTAGAAAATTCACCTATAGTAAAACGGCCATATTTGACCCGTTGGCAACGGTAACGACTTTGGTGACTGCTACCATGCATGAACTCGTTTTCAACAATAGATGCCAAAGTAATCTCTATAATTAATTTACTCAAACCACATTTCCCTACAGAAAAAAAAAAGTGGCGTCAGTGCAGCCGTCATCTTTGAATCTGCCTCGGGAAAGTCTCCGACAAACAAAGACACCCGTTTCTGTTGGATAAGACAATCCAAGGGCTGATCGCGTATACGTCGCTTAACCTGGGCATTTCTAAAGTGTCGCATCTTCACCCGTCTTCGAAGTGCGCGCACCTTTTTATCTCTTAACCTGGGTCTCCCTCCGTAGATAGGACATCCATTGCCTACACGTGACCTTCCCTATATCCCTGTCTCTCGGCTACTTATAAAGATGCGCTATACGCTTAAATGAACGTTCTTTCTTGTTCTTCTGACTACGCTAACGGTCTGGTCGCGGTGATGTAGTGACCGAGGTGCTCGACCCCGTGATCCGAAGGTCACGGGACGAATACCAGCCGCGGCGGCAGTATTCTCATGGGCGCAAAGCTCCATAGGCATGTGTACTTAGTTTCAGACGCACGTTAACTAACATCAGATGCTCAATATTCGCGCAGCCTTCCACAACGGCTTTCCCCATAATCATATCATGGCGTACGCCGCGTGGGTCCGGCGTAGAGTTACTGTATATGCTACCTTTAGGTAGCCTAAAGGTAGCATGTACAGTAACTCCAGTCCGACGGTTCTGCGAGCGCGCCGTGGCTGTGCCCCGTGAAGCCCCGCTTGTCGCGCTGCTTCCTTTTCGAAATCCTCCTTTCCCTCTTCACTTGTTTCCTCCGCTGGGCGAACCGGTTGTTGTTTATCTCCCTATGCAGAAAAACCTCCTCATCCCATTTCGTAAATGCCGCAAACTCGTTCTGACGCTGACAAGTGCCCTCCCAGTTAAAAATATCATTCGCTTTCGGAGGATTTCAAGCTGGACGGTTGTGCCCTCGCGATCTCCGACTTCAGCGTAGCTCCCGCCGACTGGTTCGCCCTCCGCGGTCTCCTGATGCCGTGCAGCTCTCGCATTGTGGCACCCCGCCCTTGGACTGCTTCGACCGGATCTCCACTTTCCTATCTCCTTCTTTTTTCCTCTCGTTGGCTGGCGGCTTCTTATCCATCTATTTTCCTTCTATTCTTTTTATTCCTTCTCTCTATATCTTTTATTCCCCATATCCCATTCCTCTGCTGACCTGTTGAGGTGTCCTCGTAAGGAGAGACAGTTACGGGTCGGCACCTTTCTTTTCTTTTCTTCTGATATAACCACAATCTCTCAGTTAAAAATACTTTTCCTCTTCTAACCGTCTTCCCTCTCCTCCTTTTTATGCAACCCGCTTTGCTGCTCTCTCACCCCTTGTCCTCCTCGAGGTCGGTATACACTCAAGTGCTGTCACCCCTTTCCCGCGGAGCGCAGAAAAGGCCGCATTGCTGCAGACAGCGAGGACAAGAAATTCGAAGAGGAGGCAAAATCGGGAAGTTGTACGGAAAACTACGTATAAGTTCCGCCTGGACGCGCCCTTCTTTTTGTACTCAAGAGTAAATATTTATTTGTTTTATTATTTGCAGGTATATTGCCACTATCCCCTAATTAAACTACGCGTTAAGAGTTACCGGCTCCTGACTCCACGTAGAGTCGACATTCTCTAATTATTTTCTTTCGTTTGTGTGTTTATTTCTTTCTATCGAAAGCTACGTTCTCGCCGAAAATATGAATTCGAAAGTTTTACTTCAGTAGTGGTTATTATAGCTTGGCTTTGTGATGGGTTAATTTTTGCAGGTGCATGGAGTTTGTCGACTTCCTCTTTTTTCAGGACTACATGGAGCAGGCATGTGCCTTCGGTAGGGCCATCTGCAATGCCGAGAACATCTTGGGTTTGAATATTGGAAAACGTCGATCGCCTGCAAAATCTACGTGAGTGGAACACGCGAACGCAAGATGCTGCAAACAGGTGAGTTCTAAGGTATCAAAAAAAAAAAAATCTTGTCTTTTCGAGATCATAGGATTTTCTCAAAAGTGTGACGACGCAAGAGTATTAATTACGTGGGCTGGAGTTAGCCGCTGAAACATTTTGTAGTTATGGCACTGTCACTTCTGGACAGATGGGTGGAAGAATGGATTGATAACATTTATTATTATCTTTATGAGCGAGCTGTAGCACGTTGCGGGTCACTCCTACGTCGGAACAGAAAGACCAAGTCCCTCCGCTGAGTCGCGATCACGTTGAACTGTCCATAACTCTAGGAAAAAAAAAGGTAAAGGAAAAGTCGCGCTCAGATCTCTCTGATGTTGGACTATCATTGCTAAAGGGCATCCCTGATGTTGGACTAACATTGCTAAAGGGCAGTGTACATAACTCTTTCGTAAGCCATTAACTCTGTGCAATGTCCCTAATCGCTCGATGCTGTTTACTTTCACGTGCTCATCAAAAGAAGTGTGCATGAAGTTGTCTCGCATGCAGTCAGCATGTGTCCAGCACGTGTTCAAGTGGGCTCTGCCTCACGAGCGCACCTTGAACCAGAGTTCACCATCGACAAAAAGTGTACATGGAAATATTGAAGCATCCTGAATTTTTCTTTTAGTGATTTTTTTTTCTTTAAAGCGAACAGCTATGTTGACTATACGCGACCACTGCAGTGCTGAAACGACTACTTATAGGGTGTGTAAGTGAATCAAGGGGAGCTATGGTTTGGCAAGAGTAAGTTTTAACGTTGTTTTAGGCTCTCTGAAGTTAAGGTAGTTTCTCACTGCCCTGGAATTCGGCTTTATAAAGATATAGCTTTCTTGATGGTCCCACAGGTTTCCTGATGAACCATCTCGTGCGGGTCGCTGCGTTCGCACCATGCCGGCAGCTCCTCCTCTGGCGCTCCACACACAAATCAGTGTCCCACAAAGATTACCCGGTTTCCTGGTTTGCCGTTGCCATGGCAAGAACTAACCGCGTGGCTTCGAAGGGCGCGGCGCGGGATCCACGATATTACAAGCCCCAGCCCAGTGCGAGGCTAATTCGACAACAGATGCTTGGCTTGGATTTACTTCCTTACAGGGAAAGGCACGTCAGGATCACTACGTGCGGTGACCTATACACGGTCAGTCGGTGAAAGATACCTCATAGCCTAGTTGGTTGAAGTATAGGCTATGTTCTTCCTTAGCATTGCTGGCTGGGCGAATCTGTTGATGTCTGAGTAGAAGGTACAAGCGACGAAACAGGAACGCCAATAACACGCTCGTAGTGTTATTTATGTTTATTCGCTGATACCTGCTACAAAAATAGCCTGTGTTACGGAAAAATTTTGGGGTTATCTGCGAAAGCTAACATGGAATATTCATTCTTGCCGTGACGATGGCCTTTAGATGGAGGTGAAATGCCAGAGGACCGTATACTGTAAGATGTCATTGCACTATTAGCATGAAATGAAACACGAATAGCGACAAGCCTTCTCGATGGAATAGTGCACGCCGTCCACTTATCACTACGAACAGGCATGCATATATATATGCGCAAAGCTGCCGAACAGGATGCGTGCGCCTGTCAATGGCGATAACTGGACGGCACACACTACACTATCGCAAAGGCTTGCCGCTGTTAAGGTTTCATTTGACGCTGATAGTATCTTAAAGAAAACCCTACGGTCGAAACTTCGGGAGCCCTCCACTACGGCGTGCGTCATTGTCATGTTTTTTGTGCGTAACCACAGATATTTGTATTATTATTCTGTTAAGAGAAGGGGAGGGAGATGAATACACGTGATGTAAGGAGGAAGGAAAGGGGGAATAAATAGGCCGAAGGGCAGGGAGGTTAGCCAATTCTCAGACTGGCTGGTTACCCTTTACTGGGGAAGAAGTAAGGGGAATAAGAGAAGACAGCGCTCTTTTATATTCTTGTATCTTTGCTGCCGAAGTTACACTGTAACTACTTTTAAGTTGCACTGTTCGTAAACTAAGATAAAAAGGAGATGTTACTAAGAGCGAAAGAAAATGAGACAGAATATAACGAAAGAGGAAAAGAAAATCGAAGAGATATTGGTTGGAAGCTTGCAAATGCTGGTTGCGTGACGGTGTGCTTACTCCCTACCCCATTTCCTTGCCCACTTGCAAGTGTCTTAAACCTTTCACCTTTTCTCGGTGCACAGAAATGGCGAGCCGAAGGTCGTCGGGGCTACGACCAGGCGCCAGAGACGGGCGCTCGCGTTCCCGTCCTGTACATCCACACTGGGCTGGACCGCATGGAGCGCGGCGATTTCACGAAGCGACCACTAACCTTGATGCTCACGGAACACTACGAGGACTACGGAAGAAACATCCGATTCCTCGACCAAAATGGAGTCGACGTTCTCTGCTTGAACTGGCCTGGTATGACACTGTTTCTTGCTTACCACCACTCGGCGGAATGCCTCCGGCTCCTACAGCCGAATAAAACTCGCAGAGTTTCTTGTACATTCACTTAAGACGACTTAAAGACAAAAGCCATCTTCTGTATCCTCTCAACCGGTGTATCGACGCTGCCAGCCACTCTTCGATAACTTTCTGCGCCCTGACGTCGTTTCACACAGCCTCCGAGGTCGGAGGTGGTTCACCCATGGTTTTGCATTGCTTCCGTGATCGGACCACCATTGACCAAGCTACAATCTAGTGTGATTACGTCATCATGTGACTTTACGGTAAGAGACGTTACCGTGACGTCAAAGTGATGTCTCGAAAATTTTGGTGATCTGTGATGTCATGCTCTTGACGAGTACCTGAGCGACCCAGCACGCCCATGAGGCAGCGTTGAGGCAAGCCCTTGTCGTCCCCTCATGGGAGGCCTAGACCTGCTGGTTTCTTATAACAAAATGTATTCCCCCTCCTCCTCCTGTGATGTCATCGTAACATTATATATGATGGTACGATAGATGATAGATAGATGACGACACCATATATGGTGTCATCATCTTTTGATGATGATCGTTTTGCATCACTCGTCCCCGCTGCCGCGGAACAGAAGGCGCTGATGACGTGGGACGCATGGTCAATTTTTGTGTTTTATGAGGCATCTAAAGCCCCTTGTGACCCCGACATCAGCGCAGTGGCAATGTAAACAAGCATACATCACGAGTTTGTGTTGGTGGTTGCTGGCACGCTCCTTGCGCTTGCGCTGTCGCAAGTTCATCCTCCGTACCGGTATCTTTGCGTGTCCTCACTTTCAGTGCGGCGCCCACGTCACAGTTTTGCGTGGTAACGTGGAAAGCTGTGCTTATCCTGCCCCCAGAACTGCTCCTGTCTAGCTCGGTGCTCTTTGAAAGCGAAACTGAGGCTGGGCGCTCTAATAACGTCTCTGAATAAATAACCTTCGCACGCTCGCGCGAACCAGGTTTCCAGCCGTCATGAAGACGTCAGAACTCCTAAACTACTTATTGCAACAAAAAAAAAAGCAAGATGCAAAGTTTTTGTTACAGTGCTTTTTAGGAGCGAAGCTCCTTATAGCGGCACCCGTTCCTCTCGCGTCTTGTCGTAGTATGTAACCAGTCTTACGCTTTGACTTGAAAGGTGATGCCAAGTATAACATCTTGACCTCCAAGGTGGTGCCGGTGAGAGATTTCTTCTGTGCGTTGTTTAACAATAAAAAATAGTGCTCAATGTACATGCCAATGGCTGCTAATGGGGGATGAGAGACAAGAGCATTCGGCTTTTAGTCAACGCGCACGCTGCGATCCCCATTAGCAGCCATTAGCATGTAATTGAGCACTATCGGACAAGAAAGGGTTGCTACATTATACTCGCTGGGTGTAAACTTCTTAGTTTTAGAAAGGTTGAGCGAGCGTTGAGCCGCAGGGCCATGAATACAATAAACTAGTATATACCACGATTGAACTCGAGGTGGTTAAAAATGGGAAGTAGATACGAAGCGCAAGCCGTAAGAAAGTAAAAGCCGAATTCTCCGCCTCTCATTTCCCATTAGCAGCCATTGGCATGTACATTGAGCACTATCTGACTGAAAAAGTTTGCTACGTCATACTCGCTGGGCGTAACCTCCTTGGTTTTAGAAAGGTTTAGCGAGCATTGGGCCGCAGTGCCATGAATACAGTGAATTAGTATATACCATGAACTCAAGGTGGTTGAAGGTGGGAAGTAGACCCGAAGGGCAAGCCGTAAGAAAGTGTGCGTGTGCCACCTCTCGTTTAGTCCTTGGAATGTCCACTGAATGGCAGTGCTTCTACATGGGGAATATATGACAAAAAGATGCGAGATGGTGGGACTTGGAGTGTTGAATAGGTGGACGAACGGACACACACACAGACAGATGCATGGATGGACGCATGAACGGACGCAGGGGCGGATGCCTGAACGAACGCAGGGACGGGCGCACGAACATACGCATGGACGGTCACACAGACGGACGCATGGACGGACGAATGCTTCGCCCCACTCTCCATCATTCACTCCGTGGATATGCTGCAAACTTTTTTATTATGTGGCTGCTCATTGTGCTGTAGTAACTCGCGGAGTTCCTCATGCGGTTACCTAAGATGACTTCAAAGCGAAAGCAATCTTTCTCTTCTCAGTCGACGTGTTGATCTTCACGACTGTCAGCTCGAGTGTGAGGCTGCCTTAATTTTTATTTTGTTCGTTGCTGAGACCTGACTGGAAAAAGTCAGACTGATGACAATGTCTTTGAGGCACCTTTTTTAAACAAATAATGTATAGTCTCCACTTGTATTTCGCTCCTGACTCTCAGTAACGATAAAGCTATTCCTCCATGTCTAAATTGTGTAAATCTAATCTTGATCTTTCTTATTAGTGCTCGCCGTGCTTTGAATTCACGCGAACGAAATACTTCACGTGCGATGTGATAGTTCAGATATATTTCTAGCTTTACGTGTGCCTCATGTCACGTCATCTCTGTCACATGCCTTTTGTTGTTGTTGTTGTTGTGGTTGTTGTTGTTGTTAGACACCTAAGCAGCCTTTGTTTTGAACGCACTTTAATGGCTTCATTGTCACTTCTTTGCCAGCAGATTTTTCCTTTATGTTTCACCAGACTATGCCTTCACCTTGGAGACCGGCTACTGGTGGCACAGCTGCGATGAGAAGACAAGACTAGTCGTCGATTTTCTCAAGCAACTGAAGATTAACAAGTAAGCACTACTAGAAAAGTGTTCTTTTTGTATATATATATATATATATATATATATATATATATATATATATATATATATATATATATATATATATATATATAGTTTGTGTGTGTGAAGCATCAAGGTATTTGTGGACCACGACTTGAAACATTGCAACGAGAGATCAACGATCTTACTGAGCATATTGTATGGGATAATTTTTTGCTTCTCGACAACTGGGTCCTGAATCTACGCATGTGTGTTGACAGCGGGCCACTTTACGTTTTTTTTCTGTCTGCAGAATCGACGCGCTAGTCAGTCACGATACAGGAAGTGCTCCCGCGTTGCAGGTGGCTGCAGAGGAGCCCAGCATTGATGTGAAGTCCTTGGCCCTGCTTGCGCCTGTCGCAACCCGACCCCTCGGGTGAGCTCATCCCATCGAACGCGACAACGTTTACGATGTTCAAACGGGCGCCTGTGACTTGATGACCATCCATTGGAGTTATTCCTCTCACAATCGATTCTCATCAAAAGAAAAAAAGGATTCCTTCAAAAATGAAAATTCAATGCTTGCATTGCGGTAGTTCGCGAGTTGTATAGTTAACCATATTTTTTCCGTGGACATTTACAACAAAACCTCAACGAATAATAAAAAAATAAAAAACAAGTTTATACAGTTTAATATTGAATCACCCAGTAACTCCACTGATGCATTTTTGCAACTTTATCGTACCGAGCACTGGAGCTTACTGATGTTGTCCTGTTTTTCTTTACACCCGTACACCTAATTAGAAGAAAAGACAGAAAGAGGTGAAAAGCTAATGATTTTACCAGTTTAATGGGTTGTTTAGTAGTAGTTATCAGTTCAATAGCAAGAAAGGTGAGCCACAAACGAAATCAGTTGACTTCGTGTTGCAGGAGCTCCCGGAACCCTCTGCTCTTCAATCCTGCTGTCAGGTGGGCATCCAAGAGTCGACGTGGAGCACGCTTCATGATTTTCTTCTTCAGAGCTGTCATGATGTTGAGCATGCACCGAGCCATGGGCCTGCCATGTGACGTCCTCTTCGCTTACCACTCGAGCATCGGATGCGACGAGCATCGGGTTCGTGAATGCACTTTTTTTAGTTCAAGCCTATCGTACGCATATGTACACGGCAAGCGAATCATATGTACACGGCAAGCATATGTACACGGCAAGCGCATATGTACACGGCAAGCCAATCAAGTGGTACAAAAAGCAAACAAACAAGCAAACAACCCGCGGGGCCTCCTCCGTGCGAGCATCGCGTGGAGGAACAGCATATTCTGACGTCATCGTGCGACATCACAGAGCATCGAAATTGGTAGCATCACTATGGCGTCATAGCATCGTCACGTCAAATGAGACATCGCATGACATCATCGCTTGGTGAAAGATGGGCCGATCCAGGAGTATAGGTACATTGTAGAAACCTTGAAGGAGGAAGAGTACAGTGCAGTCTAGTGCTGCCTAGTGCAGTCGACTGAAAATTTTAAGGTAATTTAGCACGTGTCTTTCACCGAAGCTCGTTCTTATGTCTTGCACGGAGTCTGGTACCCGGTTGTGTAACTTAAGGGGACACTAAAGGGGAACAACGGCTTGGTTTAGATTGTTGAACTGCACTCTGAGAACTCTAATACCACATGGTTCACTATCATAAGTTCATTATTAGTGGAGATATCCGAGGTGAAAGTTTCATTCTTAAATTTTGTGCCAAAGTATCCGCACGTGACGTAAAAAATTTAAAATGTATTTTCGGCATTTTCGTGACATTGGCTCGATGAAGTGTTCTGGAATTTCGTATGCTTAGTCGATGGCACCTACAGGTTATAATGTACTTCATTTAGATCGATTGGAAGCTATGTAAGACTCAGTAGACGTCTTCAAAATGTGTTACGTCACGATGTTTGGCTCGAGATTTTTAAGGTGGCAGCGCCACCAGGAAAGTTTTTTTGCCGCATTTTCTCGCTTACGTCACGCCGGTGGGCGTGTTAAATATTCCACCGGCATAGGTAGTGTCACCTACAAAGTTAGTTTGCAGAATAGCCGGCATGCTGATGAACGAACCTGGCTATCCTCCGGGTGAAGGACAGGGCAGTCGGTGCGCTCGCAAGCTGTTGGTGGCACGTCCCGATCAGCAGTCGGTGAGACACCAAGATCCATCGAAGATGCGGCTGCTTCACGCCAGCGCACAGCCGCACAAGGAAGAGACAGCGATTAAGCATGGTTCTAGTGCTGCGGCGATCTTCTCCATTCCAGCAAATCATGCTGTTCGCGTTTGCGCGCTCCAACAGGTGATCCTAAGATAATCTGTAATGCTGCCATACATACTGGCGTGATTTGCGCTAGGTATTATCAACACCCGCAATAGGCCAGCAACACCTCAGACCTGGCAGCTTCGTGATACCATATAGAGGTGAATGACACAATACCAGCGCCCTCATATTGTTGCAGGTTGAGCAGCAGTTGGCTACAATTCGACACCGCAAGATGCCGACGCTCGTGACTGTGGGCGGCGACGATAGATTCATCTCGAAGAAGGACAACCGGCAACTGCTGAGGAAATTGGGCTGCGACGCCACAGGGGTGTGTTTCTACGACGCTAATGGGAACCTCATCTCAAGTGGTACGAATACGTACGTTATATGTATGATAACTCAAGCAGCGTGAGAAATCCGTAGTCAGTACACGGAGGAACCGGCCTTTTTGTTGTTTCTCGGCGTTTGCTAATGTAGCTTGTCGTTAAGCAGGTGTGTTGAAGTCACTAAGAAATAGACGACTCAAATAATGCACCCTATATCCTTGTATCGGAACGTTTTCGCAGTCGGCATATATATACTATTGTGATTGACATCCTCATTTTCTTTTAAAAGACCCCGCATCATTCCATGAAAATAGTTGAATGATGCAAGCGCATTGTGCTTGTGTTCATGTGCCATTGCGTATCGATGTTGGATTCTCTGGCGTCGTTTAGAAGATATGAATAACAACCAGATGTCACTTTTACTTAAACGAGTGCTGACCCTTATCAGAGGCACCCCAAAAGGGACATCTTTCGTTTCCATGGTGTGCGCTCTCAACGCTCTCCACACACCAGAGCCAGGCAATATGCATAAAATATTTTTTACAATGACTTAAAAATTCTGGTCGCCCAGCAAGCTTCCCGGTTTTCGCTTTCTTTTCGTTTCAGTAACGTTTGTTAAGTGCTTTGTTTCAGTGACAGACACTGCAGAGAACAGCGTAACGTCTTCGGACGTTCACGGCTCAAGCTTTGAATTCTGCCTCTCGAGTTCCTAAAGTATTGTGTGGTAGCGTATGTACGAGCAGAAGCATAGGTTGCTCCCTCACTGAAGAGCGCACACCTTCCCATTTTTCGCATAAAAATACGACGCTTTCCATGAGCGCATATAGAGTACTGCTGATTATGTTCCCATTTATGTCATTTTTGCACGGGATTTGCCATACGCTGTGTCCCGGTTCATGTGAACCATTTTATACACCTACCACAAAGGTTTAATCATAATCTATGGCGTTAGTCGTCGGGGTGGAGATGCGCCACATGCATCAACGTAGGTGCGCCTACATCAAACGGTGCTATAGCCACCAAAAACTAACAGCTATCGCGCAAGCTTTCATTTATCATTGCACAAAACACTGAACTACCTTCGTAAGGACACGTTCACTTTCGTGTCATATTGATTCCTGTGATGGAGGGCACAAACATGTTTAGGTTCCTCGTGCCGTCATCGAGACAACTTGGCTGATGTCTTGCCATGATAGTGTGAAAGGTTACACTACGTACATTACACATACAATGCAGCACCACTCTCATTGCAGCACCACTCTCACGGAAAAGTAGTGCTGCTTCCGCACTACTTTTCCATGATCTTGTGCCAGTCTGACTCAAGCGTCTTTCTACAGTGGCAAGCAATTTTACTGTTTCTTTGCATTATCGATGCACAAGACATGACGTGGCACCAAGAACAGCTGCTGTGTGGTGACTTCAATTCTTTCGGCGCCAACAGCACTCGTCTGTAAAACACAATCATGGTTGGGGGGAAAGGAACTGGATGGTGAAGAAAGGGGGGCGGACATTGTAAAAAAGAAACATCTGTGCACAGCGGCTCATAATACTTGTGAAGGCATCTTGCTTACGTATTCTCATTCTACTGTGAAAAGTTTTTCTTGACCTTGAAAACAGCAGTTAACGTTACACGCTGTTAAGTAGCTTCTCAACCTGCCGCTATTTTGTGTACCCAGGAGTATGCTGTACAGGATTAGCACTGATCTGTACGTTTCTTCTTTATTGTTCATCAGCTAGTTTGCTTGTTTTCACAGACCATGTACACCGACTCACCCGGTTGCGTCGCCACGTATATTCCCAAATAAAGTGTGCTGAAGCATTTGTAATGTAAGCATGCCTGAGTGACGTTAACACTTCTATTTCCATTCGCAGATGGTTGCGACGAGATCGTGAAGGTAATCGAGTTGAAGGATGGATCGCACACGTTGGCAAACTACCCGGACGTGTGCAACAAGGCTCTGCTCGAACTCATCAACAGGGCGCAAAGACGTTAGTGCAAGCACAGATAGTCATGGTTCACAAGCGAACTCGTTTAGGCTGTTTTCTAAGATATCAACGTTGACAAGTGCAGGATACAATGCACAGCTAAGTGATTCATCTGGCATGATTGATTAATTATGCATAGTGACATTGATTCACCCCGTCAAAAGACTGTGTCTTTGAAGTATAAAATGGTTGATGCCGTTAGCCATTCGTGCTGTGATCAAGCGTTGTCGAGCCTAGAGCCGGCTTCTCTTCGTAGGCTGTCACTGGTTTTGAAAAGTGTTTTCTCTGCTCTGACTGCCTAGGCGAGGCACGACTACTGACTTGCCCCAACTTTGCTAGGAAATAAATGTTACCGAAGTACAAAGACCTGGATTTGTCTAGCGTACATGTGCGACTTTTACGGCATCCCGCTGGTTTCCGCAGGAATGGATGTACTCTCCACCGAACTGAGTATTCCTTCTGCCCACCACTTGACCGGAAGCACGCTTTTAGAGCATGTTTGTTTATCCATTTGATAAATATTAGTCTTGGTGAATCTTGATGATCTTAGTGATTTCAAGAAATACGTCAAATAACAATTGATGTGTAGAGAACACTCGAATAATATTGAAAAAAAAAACGTGCGGAATTATCAAGCTCAGCAACCAGCGGGATGCCAAGAACTTAGAACATCAACAAGGCAACGAATCAATTTCAAGGGAAATTGCTATCAAGAAAAAAAAAATCTAGCTAGTTTACATATGTGCACTCCTCGACATGTTGAGGTAGTCATTTTACATTCTTGAGTAACACCGGGAGGTGAAAGACGACTTTTGAAAGATACTTGCGAGGGTGTCATAATGTCTGATATAGATGAACTACAGGATCTATTGTCGTGATAAGTCTACGATGTTCTTGTATATATATATATATACTTTTACCAATCTTCTTGGTGCCCTTAAGGATCTGAAATATTTTTGTTGTTCCTCTTTCACTTGGTTTCCAGTAATTCCAAATTACACGTACTTAGTTGAAGTTAATTTTACTTCCATTACATAAACAAGGAGCAGGTGCAAAAGATCGAAAAGGTCATACTAAGGGCTCCCGCTCCTGTTGGCGCTCAGCATCGGTGGTACAAATTACAATACACAATACACCACACACTTTGAATCGAAAGAAATGTAACATGACCAGTATACAAATCACACGATGAATAACGAATGAAAAAGAAAACATTTCGCTTAAATCAATTTAATGTAGATAAGTAGTCAGGAATACAAAAATATGGGCATTACACAATCGTTGAATCAGTTGATTAAGAATTTGTTGAATAAATTTCCCGCGCCGTCAGTAGAGAGAGAGATATAGAGAAAAAGGAAAGGCCGGTAGGTAAACCAGATATTAGCATCCGGTTTGCTACCCAGCACTGGGGCTAAAAATAATACAGGAAATGAGATTGCATTGCTATATTCAATTCTAAAAAAAGCATAGCAGTATGACATGGAAATGATACACATCATGTATATTCCATTTGATGCTCTATAATATACAGTTCATAGATTTGTTTTTTTTTTTCACAACGTGCGAAAACCAACAGGGTTTGGGCGATTTAATTTTTGCGGAACCTTGTATAGCTTATATACTGCTTGTCATAAACTGTTCTGAATTTCAGTATTACCCTAAGCATTTCAATACGATTTTCTATACCCAGAGCATAGGAATCTGGCTACGAAATGACACACCAAAAACTTTATTGCAGTCCTGCGAGTCTTCGAAGTATGTCTGATTAAGGACTTAGACCTTTTTTGATCGCTACTCCTACTCCAGACTGTGGTGGCGTACTGTAGAACAGTACGAATGAAAGTTGCATGTAGAAAGGTACACCTAAGCTAATTGAAGATGGTTCATTCTTTTTATATTCACTACGCTGAAGGGACGAGGATGGAGTACGAAGAAGACCACTGACTCGCAACTACAGCTTTATTCAAAGGAATGACTCGAACAAACAAAATGTCATAGCCAACCACATCTCATCAAAGCTACTGCGCGTGTGTAGCAGCCCTGAGCTGCAATTTTTAAATTTGAGAGTGTCGTCCTTAGTAACGTAGAAAAAGCTTATTTGCTTCCTTTTTAGCTTGTTTTTTTTGTGGTCCAAGCGCATGTAGTCCTTTGTTTTTTTATATGAACATGAGTTTGTGGTTTGCACTTTCTGGCATCTATAAATCCCATGGATGACTCTGCTGCACACGTGCAGCCATTTCTCTGAGGCGTAGTTGGCGTTCGACTTATTCGAGTTGTTTCTTTGGATAAAACTTTAGTTACAGGTCAGGGCTCTTGTAGTAACCTTTTTTCGTACTTCATCCTCGTACGTTCCGCGTTGTGAACTATAAAAAAAAAACTTGGGAGCGTGTTGATATAACTGTGTTGTACATTAGAACAATCCCAAGGAGTCGAAGTTAAACCAAAGGTCTTACGCACCTCCCACCGGCACGGCGGATTTTGCAATCATCTCGAAGTTCTTGCGCGAAAAATGCAAAATTGATTTCGTTCTCTTGATGCGAAACGCCGCGTCAGTGGTTTCTTGGCGGTGATCTAGAACTAACCGTCCAAGATTCACGCTGTGTTGCTGCCAAAGCCTCTTATTTTTATAGCAGCCATTCGGATAACTGGAAACTGAATTCTGGCTTGTTGCGAGCGGTGCCAGAACCACGGTATAATTATGACCACCGGAAGTAATTCAATGTGCATGTTTCTTGAAATATAGGCTCATGCTTCTTGCATTTGCCCCCCCCCCCCCCCATTCTCCCCGCCGTGGTGAGCTATAGTGGCTAAGGTACATGGCTGCTGACCCGCAGGTCACGAAATCAAATCCCGGCTTTGGCGGCTGCATTTTCGATGGAGGCGAAAATGCTGTAGGCCCGTGTGCTCAGATTTGGGTGCACGTTAAAGAACCCCAGGTGGTCGAAATTTACGAAGCCCTCCACTACGGCGTCTCTCATAATCATATGGTGGCTTTGGGACGTTGAACTCCCCATATCTTGATTACCCCCCCCCCCCCTACTACAGGGAGGGCCAGTTGGTCGTTGGCTTCCAATTATTTCACTCCTGATCTCTCTACTGTACCGGGCATTTTCACATGGTGACTCTTGAATAAAGCTGTCATGCAAGTCATGCATTAATCTTGATGTAAAATTAACGGTTGACATTTTACGTTTACTTCATCAATTTAGTTAAGCACATATATAAGTGCAGAAAAAACAAAAACAAACATGATAGTTCCGAGGTTGGTGTAGCAGTTTGTTTGTTCTCTTCTTTATTGATTTGTTTCTGTCTCTCTCTTCTTCATTTTTTTTTTCGTCCGTCCGTCACCGAGGTGATCCGCTGCGGTGGTGTATTGGCGTACAGAGCTAAGCGGCTGACCCGCAGGTCGTGGGTTTGATCCCGGCCACGTCGGTTGTATTCCGAAGGAGACGAAGTGCCAGAGGTCCGTGTACTTTGCGGTATCAGTGCACGTTAAAGAAGGAAACGCCAGGTGTTCAAAATTCCGGAGCCTTTCATACGGCGTTTCCCGTAATCACATCATGGTTTCGGCATGTTATGCCCGAGATAGTATTGTCCGTCGCTGAAGATCTGTTCTAACAAGCATTTAAAAACAGACTGCACGTTTCGGCAACTTTAAAGAGCACTCGGGTAGAAGCACGCACGTAATCACGAGACACTCATTAACTAGATAACCTTTACGTTCGTAGTAGATTGCTGAGGGACGCTGGCTTGGAAACGAGCAACTAACTATATAGCCGCTCTGACATCAGCTTTCTATATGATAAAGGAGAAATAGAAAAGATGCGAGGACAACCGCACAATAGTGGTAACTCAGGTTAGTTGGTTGTTCATTATCGTGAAAAATAGCGCATTATAACGAATGAGGAACACAAAAACACAAAAGCTAATTGATACCCGACTTCCTCGCCGGGGTGGGGGTGGGGGGGGGGAGTTAAAACTGGCCGCTGTCTATGATATCTGCAACAAACACTGAAGTCGTCCCTATTTGGTCTCTTATAAACGTGCTAAACGACAACTAATAACTATTTGAATGCCACCAAAGCATGTGCGGGCGCAAGAACCACAGCGTGTTTTTTACAGCGAAAGCAGCTATGAGATCATAACTCGGGTCACGCACAGTTGTTTGCCACCGCGGCCGGTACAAAATTAGCAAGAAAATCTAGCACCAATGACACATTGCGGCTCGAACCCGAGTCCGCCGAGTGCGAGTCAATTATTCTACCACTCAGCCACGCCGGAGCCTGGGACTTGTTGGCAAACTTGCCTTAAGCAGGCTGATTGATTGATTGATATGTGGGGTTTAACGTCCCAAAACCACCATATGATTATAAGAGACGCCGTAGTGGAGGGCTCCGGAAATTTCAACCACCTGGGGTTCTTCAACGTGCACCCAAATCTGAGCAGACGGGCCTACAACACTTCCGCCTCCATTGGAAGTGCAGCCGCCACAGCCGGGATTTGAACCCGCGACTTGCGGGTCAGCAGCCGAGTACCTTAGCCACTATACCACCGCGGCGGAGCCTTGTTCTTGTTCCCCTATCAACTGTAATGCATACCCACTTCAGCCATAATTCATCATCGTCGTCAGCCACTGCGTGAACAATTGGCACAAAATTCCTTGCAAGTGTTTAGCGGATATCACGCTTCTCAGAAGAATGACAAAAAATAGCAAAGCAAATGCCGGCCTATATACTACCCCAAAATTTTATTATTAATGCCCTAGTGGGTATGAAGCAAGTGCGTTTGCAGTAATTACCCAATGAGTGTAATGACATGCAGATTCTCTATCTCTCTGTGCGGCACTTTCTGTTAGTGCTGCTAATTAAATAACAAAGGCGTTCCGTGCACTAGTGCCTGCGCATTTGATAAAAGTCCGATTAGTTTGGGTGCCTGGACATAAAGGCTTATTTTTAAATGAAATGGCCGATTCCCTAGCTAAGTCGTCAATTAGCGGACCGATTCTACCACTCTGTTCACCATCCGCTCATGTGACAGCTGCTCGATTCCGCAGACGTACGCTTATGGAAGTCTTTATATAGGTACAGCACTGACAAGCTCTACCGAATATCGCCATTTATTATCCCTGGCGAAGAGACCTTTGCTGAACTCGTAAACAAGAAGTAGCTATTGCAAGCCTGCGTTGCCGTGTACCAAATCTAAATTGCTACAAACACAGGTCTGCTCAGGTACCTTCGCCACTGGGCGCGTTCTGTGGTGAACTTGAAACAATAGATCATTTCTTTTTGATCTGCAGGCGGTTTAACACAATACGAAAAACTCTTTTAGAAATACCTTTACGTGGTAATGGTATGGATTTATCTGTGCCTGTCATTTTGTCTTTTGGAGCTTCCACTTTTGGGTTCTCTAATGTGACAGTAGGCGCGGCCGTCCGGGAATATATTAATGAAACTAATAGGTTGATCAATCAATCTGTACTAATAGTCTAACGTGTCTACAAGATTATATACGTATAAAAATCGGAGTATTGCTCTATTTTAGGAATAAATTAGTTTCTTTATTTAAATATTTATATGCATTAGATTGCAGGTAATCGGTAATCTTTCTATTATATCCCCATCATTCTGAGTCTGCACAATATATTTTTTTAAAACCACTCAATTCTTGGCCAATTCCCCATAGTGGGTATGCGCCACGAACAAAAGGTGAACAAGAACAAGCGTTTTGTAGAAGCTCTAAAGGGCCACTATTATAGCTTTCGCTGTGACTGTGCTGCGCCTTCCGCGCAGGCTTGTAATATCTTTTCATCGCCGTCGCTAATCGAAAATGAAGGTGCTCCGGCGAACGGTTCTTGTGTCACTTGCCGCAACCTCGTTTAAATATACGCGCGCATGCATCCTCGATCACTCCGGCAGAGCTCACGAATCAAGCGACTCGCTGATACAGGTATCCTTTTCGCGCACTAGCCTCGCCGTGAAGTAATACTGCTGCGGAATTTTGAATTCGGCGTAATAGCTACAGGAAATGAGTTCTGAAAGTTTTTTTTTCTTTTTCATTTATTCGGTAGTCCTGTTTATCTTTATCTGCACAGTGTTTCAGTCGCGCTGGTGGTCGCTTTTTTGTGACGTCATCCTTGTCGAGTCGCGTATCTGCATCCGAACGATCTCACGTGGTGTTCCTCGACAGAATTCTCGCGGCCACTAGCGGCGTAGCCGTGAAACAGCTCCCAGTGTAACCGAGAAGGGGCGGCGCGCGTTCCGGCTCGTCCAGCACTTCAGCGCGGGTGCCTTGCGTTCGAGCTGCTTCTCGTGCCAAGCTACTCACCGGTAAGTAACGGTGCTCCTTCGATTGAGCTCAGAATTTTGAATTTGAGCCGGTGAATATGGTCGCTGCATACCTATTCCACCATTATTTTATATTATCCGAGATGAGGACTCCGTATAGTTCGTTGAGAGAAGCACTGCATTGTCTTCTGTATTTCTGTTGTCTGTTCGTGCATGTTCTCGCGTGCTCGAAGTCTTGTGGGTCGTTGCTGCAAGACTTAATGCCGCATATTTTTCTGCGCTTTTTTTTAGATACTAGGGAATGCTTATACATTGTGGTGAAAAAAAAAACTTTGTTTTTGCTACATGTAAATCGGCCGTGTTTTGTAATAGCGTCGTGGTACACCAGCGAAACACACCAACAAACTTGCGCACTCTGAATATGAAGCTTCAGTTGCTTCGTGTGGGCTGTGCAGCAGTGGTGACAACGCAACTTAACATGTACAAGATTTGTTGTAGAGCTGGTGGCGGCCAGGGATTCTTCGTTTGTTTTGTACGTTATGCATTACGTCTTTCATTGCACAGCACCATGCCCACAAATTGAGACCACTGCAGATTAAAATGGGAACTATGTGTACGAGGTAAACAGAATAAAATTTTCCAAAACGCAAACTTTAGCACTGGTGAACTTGGAAATAGAGGCTCCAAAAGAGTCATGGGCAAGACCAATTTCATTTCAATAGCACGTAAAGTACTATCTAACTTGGATCTTCGAGCTCTAATATATTGCGTACAGGTCAAAAGGAAACGATCTACAGTTTCTGGCTCACCACAGAACGTGCATATTGGAGTTAGAGACTCGGCAGACCTGTTTTGGCCAAAATTTAGTTTTGGCACCTTACAGTGCAGCCTCGTAATTGCCACTTGTAATATACGTGTTCCTAGAAATGATCGGCGCCGGGGATATAATAAGTGCTGATATTCTGTAAAATTTGTCAGTGCTGTACAGGAAAGCTTTCCATAATATCACGCCTGCGAAATCGCACAAGCTGTCACATAAGCGGATTGTGGAAGACGTGGCAAAATTGGCCCACCTAATAATGACATCGCGAAAGAATTGGCCATTTTGTTTAGGAGGAGCCTTCTATGACCAGACACACAAGGTAATTGAACTTTTCCAAAGTTGGGGGGTGGGGGGTGGTATCAATGAACGAAACACCTCATACCTAAGGCGGAGTACTCGCAGAGAACGCCCAGTTTGTTCTTTTGTTTTTCCTTCAAACCTATGGCACGTACCCACACCGGAGAATCGGCCATGATTGCTCAGTTGAAAATTTAAAAGGTTATTTGAACAATGTTTTGTGATATAATACAAACAAAAAGGCAATAATACGTGATATATTAAATTAAGACTACACGTAATATGCTATTCAGCTTTTATTCCAGACTGCGAATGAGCCTGATCTAAACAATTTCGAAGAGATTAGCTAGTTTTTACTGTATTTTACGAACAAATATTTTGAAGGCAGGATTAAAATGGCACTCGTTTAGTAGTTAGAAATTATGCACGCCATCAAAGGCATCTCTGTGGCAGTATCCCAAACCTCGGACCGAAGCTGAACGCGACTTCTTCATTGTTTTTTTTTTTACAACATATGGCACGTACCCGCTTTTGCGGATTGGCCAAGAATGCGACGTTGAGACATTTAAATATTATCCTAAGAATGATAAGTGATTTAAAAAATAGAGTTGAAAAGCAATCATTTTCCTCTTTCTTTACGGCTCAGCTAGCGTCCCTCGAGCACTCTGGTATTTTCCCGGCACGTACTAGACCGCTTCGAACACCTGGTACGTTTTGTCGTCGACTCATAGAGGTCCACTTCTTTTGTCGTCTTGTTCATACCTGCGACTACTCTAGTACACTATCTTTATCTGCCCCCCCCCCCCCCCCAAAAAAAAACAAGAAAAAAAAAACAAATCCCTGCTATACGCCCCCTTGTCTCTTGTGCTGTGATAGGCAGAGCAGTGTTGCCACAAAAAGATAAAGGAAGCACAGCAGCATTTACTTATGCCGTATAATATTTAAAAAAAAAACCTTAAGCTGGAGGCAAGAATATGTTTATGGACAAATCAAGAATCCATTACAAATAGAGACTTCAAAGCCATTCGAACAGTACAACATACGCGAACGAAAAGCCGCACGTTAGAAGCCATCGGAACGGTGTAGAATCGTGAACGAAGAAAAAAAAATAAAGGAAAAACTTCGCGGTACATTAAGCCTTGAAATGGGAGCTCGTGAGCCGACAGGATATATCGCATTCGGTTGGACATCCTGAAACCAAAGGAGCAGCGTCCGGTACGCAGACGGTAAGCTTACTTTACGTACAGACGACTGCTGTACTCGTACACTACACGTCTGAAACTTGAAGCCCAACACGCATTCGTGCTCGTTCTGGCGAAATACGATACGTGCGTAGTGGAAGCGTATAGTGTCCAAATAAGAACATTTTCAAACCTTCTTCGCAGATTGGTAGATGATCAATCATGCTGCACAGATTTATTTTGCAGGTAATATATACTGTAGTAATGAGTGTGTTTAAATGTCTTGATTAAAACTATTTTGGGACGTTAAACCCCACAAATCAATCTTGAATAAAAGTACGAGTAAATAATAATGGTAATACTAATAATGATGATGAGGAGGATAATATTGATGAGGAGGATAGTAATAATGATGAGGGGCACGACACCATTCTCAGGATGGAAAGCTTACGTCCATTGCCTTTCCAGGTCGCCTTTACCTAGATCATATGTTCTGAACTGCTCGGTTCGTGCAACGTAGCTGCAGAAGATTCCCCTCCAGGATGGCTGCAATGGTTGCACAAGATGCCAAGTTTGGAGCCAGCCGGGCAGCTCGTCTGGCAAAATGGACATAGCACAACTGCATTGGACACTGCTGACACCCTTCATAATCGTCAGTCAGCTGCCGCGTCTTCCGGGCACGACACCATTCCCAGGATGAAAAGCTTACGTCCATTGCCTTTCCAGGTCGCCTTTACCTGGATCATATGTTCTGGACTGCTCGGTTCGTGCAACGTAGCTGCAGATTTCCTTCCAGGATGGCTGCAATGGTTGCACAAGATGCTAAGTTTGGAGCCAGCCGGGCAGCTCATCTGGCAACATGGACACAACACAACTGCATTGGACGCTGCTGATACCCTTCATAATCGTGAGTCAGCTGCCGCGTCTTCCGGGCACGACACCATTCCCAGGATGGAAAGCTTACATCCATTGCCTTTCCAGGTTAGTTCCCTGAAAGGTGCTACTTGTGTTAAATCCAATAATTATTGTTTGTTGGCGGTGTCGTGTCCACGAGACCTGAAAGATGTGTTTAAGCGATTTATAGTTTGTGCATCGGAAACGTGTTATGCCTTGTCTGCCTTAACACTTATGCTGTCTGGCGATGTTGAGCCAAATCCGGGACCAATGACTGAAGCTCAAGAAGAGGCATTTTCTGCTGCCCTAGACACAATTAAAAAATTGGAAGAGGCACAAGCAGGCATGCTTTCCGAGCTAACTAGTGCAAAAGCTGGTCATGCTGCTGCTCGGAAAAGGATTGATAAGCTAGAAAAAAGGCAGGAAACACTTATTGCAGAGCTTAATATTTCGAAAATGAAACAGGAAGCCGTTGACGGCGAAATTAAGTTGCTGAACGCAAAGATTGCTTCACTGTCACTTGCTTCTACGTCTGGAAGCAGCTCGGGTGATGCTGAAGCAAGTGCTAACGTCCTTCGCAGTGTACCTGATCGCTTGGCCACTATCTCTTTTCGGTGCGAAGACACTGAGAACAGAATGCGACGCTCGAACTTGCTTTTCTTTAACATTGCGGATGACGAAAAAGAAGACTGGGCTTTGTCCGAGCAGAAAATTGTGGAATCCTCCTCACAAAAGCTTGACATTAACTTATCCAGCACAAATTTCGAAAGAGTGCACAGGTTAGGCAAACATGCTGACAGCAAAAAGAGGCCTACCATTGCGAAAATGACCTTCTATATAAGGACAAAGCGCGCATCTTGTCCGCTGCAAGAAAGCTTAAGGAGTCCGAGTTTTCTATTCGGGAAGACTTCTCTCCTGCTACACAAGAGGCAAGAAGAAAGCTTATCGAATTCGCCAAGGCCAGAATAAAACTCTTTAAGCTATCTGTTGACAGATTGCGCATAGATGATGTAACATACGTGTACGACCACGCAACAACCACGGTAGTGCGACTAGGCAGATAGCTAAGGCGTGGTACTGGCACCTGTGAATTCAAGCAGGCACCTGAGCCTCAGAATTTACCGTCACTCACCATATCATTTACTAATATTTGCAGCCTTCTGCGAAAGCTTGACCAGGTCTGTTCCTTCCTTGATGACACGGGTTCTGACATAATCATCTTCACCGAGACATTGCTTCATGCGGATATTTCAGACAATATTAGTCCCCTACAAAATACCTATAACATTTACCGTTGTGATCGCGTTAACAGAAGGGGTGGAGGCGTAATTTTGAATTTGAATTTGAATTTTATTCATCAAGCGTGAACATGGAAAAGTGTATGGGTACAGATTATAGGCATTAAAAAGACAATAACCTTTTATCTAATGGCGTCTGCAACAAATATAGAAATTGTATGGGTTGTTTGCAGAACTCGAGTTGAGAAATTATTGATTGGTTGCTGCTATCGCCCTCCAGACACTAATCCATTATTTTTAAGCGACTTACGTAGCACCATAACTCATGCTGTTAAGACGTGTCTAACTGAGCTCGTTCAATTATTTGGTGACTTTAATTTTCCTTCAATAAACTGGAAGCTGCTTTCATCGAATTGCCATGTTTCCACTGCGTTCATTGCCTTAACATTCGATTTTAACCTAGCCCAGATCATAAGCCAACCCACTCGTGACTCGAATATACTTGACTTGGTATTAACAACGGCACCAAATACTATATCAAATATAACATACATAGATGGCTTCAGCGACCACCGGTTAATTCAAATGATTCCCAACGTCCCACTTCTT